CAGTCTAAAATACGCTCACACATTGTGGATACAATAATAATTTCCTCTCATTTTCTCCAGTTCACAATAACCATAACCATTCACCTCCAGCGCCGTAAATACAAAGGTTAAATTGAACCTAGTAATTTAACTGAAATAGACCCTAGACCAAATAAAGAGGTGGCGTGGCCTAGTGGTTAGGGCACTAGATTTGCATTCTGGAGGTCTTGGGTTCAAATCCTCCTCCCTGTCGATCGATGGATTTGTGTTCCGTGGTCCCTAGTTCAACTCCTACACGTCTTGTAAATAGCCAACTACATGTTGTCAGCAGCCTCCAACCAGTTGGGATATTGATCACGTTTTCAGTTCTACTTACAGTATTTGTTTCTCTATTCAGTCTCCCCAGCACCGTACTGCTTCATGTAAATACCATGACACTTAATAGTTATGAAGAGACTTATCATTTAACCAAGCAGCTGGTATTTTTTTTGACACCTACCCTAGCAGCCCCTCGGCACATGTCTGATGCCATCTTTCCTGCAACCTTTATTTCAAGTATTTTGTTGGTACAAAATGCAAACAGCTGATCAAGAGCACACTGAAAAAACAAAAACAAAAAAACGAATCAATATTTGTACAGTGAGTAAATATATTCACTGAACTGGCGTGAGGTCCGTATTGGAAAATACAACAAGCGAGGTGTAAACTTGCACAAAGGGAACGAGACCAATATTTTGTAATACGTACCGAGCAAGCTAGTGTAGTAACGCAATGGATCGAGAGCAGTTATTCAGGAAAATTTTTGAACACGTAAACAGGCTTAAATTTTTCTCCAGGACTCTCCAAGAAGGGCGGTACCTAAGGCCTACCAGAACGTTTGCATGGATGGGACTTGCCCATATTTCATATTATGGCTAACAAAATTTCTTTGGAAACAAAATTAGCTGAAAATTATAACGCTAGTTATTGTAGTTGTACAAAAGAACTTTACCTAGAAAATCTTGGGCGAGCTTTGCATCAGAATAGCGTGAAATGTTGAGGCAACGCCCATTCCCATCACCTAGAAAATCTTGGGCGAGCTTTGCATCAGAATAGCGTGAAATGTTGAGGCCACGCCCATTCCCATCATGCCCTCCAAGCAGTGACGCTGGTCAGCTTTCATCGTGGTACTGTCTAGCTCTGACGTGTTCTCAAATGATGAGTTGCAATCATTGCAAAACATCTGCAAAACAGAAACAAAAAAAAAAAATGACAACAGCCCCAGGCATGGTCTAACAAAATGCAGTTAAGGCAAACATCGTGATTGTTGTCACAAAGGTCATGATTACGACTATGCAAAATTTACTCCAACAGACCCCTAAATTGGATGTTAGTAGTAAATTCTGCATACGGACCAAGTTGCTTCTTCAGGCCGG